GTCAGATACTCCCATGGGCCCAGTTGTTTGGTTGCTAAACATGTGAAGAAGGAGAATTGTCTAAAATGAGACTAAACATCTCATGGTACTGGCCATTCATGCCTGGTCCTGCTGGCTGGCTAGCTCTTCACAGAACACTTGTTGATTGGGATCATTTTGTGAGGACATTGTGTTTCTTGGGCTGTTTTCCTTACCAGACCCAACCCTTTCCCAACAAGAAGGTAGACTGTAAGGCCTGTTGCATACATCAGCATTCCTAATGGACAGGCAAGGTCTTACCTGCCTTAAGGGTAAGCAGTCCAAATTCTGATCTCATTGCTGCCAGGTGCATGCTGAGTATTATTGGGCACTTTGCTTTGACTCCTTCTACCACGGTTCCCACTGGAGTTGAACAGGAATGGCTGGGTGAAGTGCTGAGGGTTACTGGTTCATTCTCTCATTAATAACAAAGAAAGTGTGCTCAAACTTAGATATCCTTCTTGGGCAGTTATGGTCCACAAACCAAATCTAGCATATAGCCCATCTTGGTAGGGTCTGCAAAAAGTGCATGTATTCTATGTTTAATGGTTTTGTTATGAATATACAAGACAGTGTAATAGTCTTGATTTTGCTTCTTGTCCCACTAGAGATATTTTCTCTTTGGCCTGCCCTTGTGGGAGAAGGTTATTGACCCCTAACTAGAGGGTGCTAGAATGGTTTTCTATCCTTCAAGATTGTCATTATTTTTGTTTGTTTGTTTGTTTGTTTCATTGGCCACAAGCAGAATATGTTCCAAGAACTCTCTGGCAGGCTTTTGTTCTTTGATGAGTCCTCCACTACAACTCCAGAACAGGTGGTCACCCTGCATTAAGGTAGAGAAACCCGATTCCCATAATGCTATGAGGTCATCCTACCCTTCTGCAAATTGTTCCATAGATTGGGCTGAGTCATCTCAGAATACTTCCCTGCCCTACCCAAATGCCCACACCACAGCCCACATGATGCCCTTGTAGGAACTCAGACTTGTTCTTCCCACATGCTTTGTGGGGTCTCTTGGGGCTGAGGATCTCTCCAGGCATTTAGGGGAATTCATTCCCAGGAATTTACAGTTCAGCTGGGGAAAATAGAGACACCCATGGCAGGAAAGAGGTCCAGGCACCATCACAATGTTTTATGGCCATCCAAAGACCACACATCTCACAAGGGTGACCTCATAGCTCAAGTACATCAGGAAATGTGTTCCTTCTGTTGAAGCTGGGGGCATTCAGAGATCTTTTCTGTCGTTTTTCAGGGGCATAACAGGTATATTCTCCCCATTGCTAGCCTTTATTGCATCCTTGTCCAGCAGTCTCTTCGTGGTTCACTAAGAGACAAATGCTCATCTGCCTGCATGACTTATGAAGGCAGCTACAGTATATACTCATCAGTCTGGTTGCCTCTCATATTGCCCAACCACCTTGTAGGCATTTTCAAGAGCTTCAAGCATAGTCTCCAGCAACCAGAGTATTCCAAGAGATTCCTAGATGTCCAGGCAAATGTCCTGGAGACAGCAGCCCCTCAATCAACATGGGGAGGGGAAAACACCTTTTCATTGTTGAGAATGAGATGTGAGAGCCTGAGCTGATATTCTAAATAGACAGAACTTGTCAGAAATAAAACCACACTCACAGTTGCTCTTGCATGCCTTCAAGTCATCTCCCTTGTGTTTGCTGATAACTTTGAGGATGTATTCTCCTCAGCTAAAATGGCATGCTGTCTTTCCATTCTTGCTTTTCAAACAATGTCTGCCTCTCATCAAGCCCAGAGGCAACTGCTAAGTGTGGTTTAGGCAAGCTGTTTTGCCTGGTTGAGGGTAACTAGAAGTCTCTAAACTGTTTCCTCAGAGCAGCATGACTCTAAATCCCTGGCCAAGACTAGAGTACAGGATTTATAGGAATAATCCTTCTACTCAAGGCAAATAAGGTGTGTTTTCCAAGCTTTAGGCCTTAACTTTCTTATGGAAGCAAACTCCATTGTCCATGTTGAATATTGTTTATTGATTCAATTGTCAACCAACCCAGAAAAGCTACCCTGCAGAGTTCAGATCTTGTTCTGTATTTGATACTGAATTTGTTTGTTGTGTATTTACTGAGTACCCTCAGGAAACAGTTGGGTAGATAGAGCTGAGCGAGGCATGGGATGTGGTCCTAGAACAGTTCCAAGCTAGGAAGAGGCAAGTGATGCAGACATAGGCTAGAGGAAGAGGAGAATGATGCAGGCATGGCACGCAGGTCCTCCTGGGCATTGCACTAGAGGTGCCTGTAAGATGGTGCTGTGACAAGGGAGGGGCATACAAATGGATGTGAAGTTGGGTGCTCCAAGCAGGGAGTGCAGTTCCTAACCCAGTTAAATGCTACCAGACACCAGTGTGCTTGTCCCCAGCAGATGAAGGAAAGGAGGACAAATAGAAGGGTGTGGCCCTTTGTTGGAGAGTGTGCAGTTGATGCTATGATGAACTTGTCAGGTGGATGTCGTGTGCACATTTGCATGTATAACAAATACTCTAACCGTGGTGTGTAGTAAGAACTGAAAGATGAAGGAGATTGGAGCCATGAAGAAGATGAGTTAGCAAGTGTGATCTGAAAGGAAGTTGAAAGTAATCTGAGGAAGGGCCAAGGCAGTAAGATCAACCCAAGTAGCTGGGAGCTTTGGGGGAGGACAGTTCTGTCCTATCACTCACTGATACAACTGTTCTGCATGGCATTTTTCTGCCTCATTGCCCCTGTCATCCCACATCCATTTTTACTGTCTTCCAGAAAGTCCATAGGGAAGCCTGTGTCAAGAGTGTGATGAGACCTGCATTGCTTATACACCAAAGAATATAAGAAGGTCCCATTTCAGGTATCAGACAAGATAACACAGTTTGTGTGTGGCAAACAATGTGTTCACTTTAGAGAGCTTACTCAGGGACATGCACGTAATTTCACATCCATACCTGCTATCTTAGGGTTTTTATTGCTGTGATAAAACACAATGACCAAAAGCAACCTGAGGAGGAAAGGGTATAGCTCATCTTCTAGCTTGGAGTCCATCATCCAGGGAAATCAAGGTAGGATTTTTGAGGAAAGCTACTATTGGCTTTCTCTTCCTTTCTTCTAGCTCTCAGGACCATCAGCCTAGGGGTGGCACTGCCCACAGTAGGCTAGGTCCTCTCACATCAATCATCAATCAAGGAAATCCACCACAGGCTTGCCTACAGGCCAGGTGGGGGTGGGGTGAGGACATTTTCTCAGTTGAAGTCTTCCCAAGTAAGTCTGGCTTGTGTCAGGCTGACATAAGAACTAGCCAGCACAATCCTCAATGAACTGGATGTTCAGAGACCAATTACTTACCGCTGATACTCCCCGGGCCCCTTCTTTGCCCTTTTTTTTTCAGTTTCCACAAAGGCAGAAAGAGATGCGTGTGGGATGGTACAGGTTGAGCAAAGTGCCTTGTGCTCTGGTAGCTTGTTTGGGTTTTCAGACAACACAGTTACTGACTTGGGAAAACACAATGGACAGCTTCTCCAGACAATGCGTGTCATTGTGCAACATGCCGTTTTTCATTTTTACCTTCCACTCTCTAACAGTGTGTATCCTCAAACTGCCACTGAGATCCGTGTGGCTCAGCACTTTAGTGTGTTTCATCACCATCACATAGGTGAACCTTTCTCAAAGGCTATGATTCTTACAGGCACAGATAGAACAAGATTTTGAAAATGAGATTTGCATTATTATGCATGCTGGACAACTGTTCAGAATAAAGGACAAGTGTTCACTTTGTTGGTCTTGTTTGAGACTATGGGTACAGGAAAGTTTTACACTGTTAATTCTATGAGATATTTTAATGTCGAGAATGGAAACCCAACTGAGTTTTGGCCTGGTGTCTTCACTGTCCCACTGTCAGTCAAGGAGGTGTGTGACATCCAGCTTATTGAGGTATTCTGCTGAGAAGGGTTTTCAAATTGTGGCCAGGGCACCCACTCAGGCTCTGGTTGCTTGTTTCTTAGTAGCTACAAGGTCAAAAACATGTGCCTGAAAAGTATGTTTTCCCTCTCCGACTGGCATTCTGTTAGTAGTACACCACCCAGTGGCATTTCATAGCATCCATATGATGCTTGTCAGAGGTATTGGGTACAGCAGTAACTGTGACAATCATCAGAGAACTTTGGTAAAATGGTGCCCTTCCACTTTAAAATTTATGTCATAGAATGTAAGTCAATTCTTTCTATTATGCTTTTTAGATTAATACACTATGGGTTTGTTACTATTTTAGTATGTAAAGACAGAGAGGGGAGGGACATGGTCCTCTCACCTTCTACCCTGTTGGAAACTGTTGTTTGCCACTGTATACACCAGGCTAGCTGACTATGAGCTTCTAGAGAACCTCCTGTCTCACCAGAAGAGCTCTGGGAGTCCAGTTGTGTGCTTCCACACCCTCGACATAAATTCTGGGTCTCTGCCTTGGGTCCTCATGCTTTCAGAGCAACTCACTGGGCTTTCTCCTCACCCAGTAACTGCTGGTTTTAAACGAATTAATGAACATATAAGTTTGAAGTTTTTGGTTGCTTGCATTCTGATAAATATTGATAGTTACCTCAATAATATCTTCATAATTTCTCACATTTTTTGAGACAGTGTGTCTTGTTGTATACCCCAGGCTGATCTGACACTTGTGGCAGTCCTCCTGCCTTGGCGCTAGGTTTACAAGTGAACACCTACAACTTGCTTCAACATTTTAAAGCTTAGGAAAGGCTCCTAAGACCAACTCTTTCAGCTTGGGATTATAACTTGAAAAATTCATAACAAGACATAGATGTTCTCTAACAATCCACTTGGGTTCATGTCAATGTTTATTTGTGGTTGTTTTGAAAGTAAATAACAGAACAACTGTGAAGCCAAGGGCCGTGTAACTTTCGAAGAGTCAGCCATGACTGCAAACCTTCCCTTCCCATGGACACCTGGCAGTGGGCTCTCAGTTTGTGATCGTGCTCGCCGCCCGCTTGCACTGGCATTCATGGCTTTGTGGAGCCACCAGGTGATCTTCTATCTAATTCATCCAGCTAGCTGGCCTGGGTTTCCTTGGCTCCCAGGGTTGGAGATGGTAAGCCTGCCTCAGGGAGCTTAAAGCCTCCTGTAAAGAGACAATGAACAAGTGGCCATCTGTAAACAGGATCATCACTGATTCCCATGTGCTGGGAAATGGCTTGTGGGTAAAGTACTTGCCACACAAGTATGAGGACCGGAATTTAGATTGAGCATCCATGCAAAAGCTAGATGTGGTTGTGTATTAATTACTGTAACCCCCGGTGCTTGGAGTAGGAGCAGGTACACAAAGACAGGAGGATCACTAGAGCTTGCTAGGCAGCCAACACAGTCAAAACAGCAAACTCCAGGTTCAGTGCAAGAGGCCCTATCTTAACAATTAAGATATGAAGTGATAGAGGAGGGTACTGGATATCCACCTCTGACATCTACATGTGCACGTTCGGGCATGCATACACAGAGAGAGAGAGAGAGAGAGAGAGAGAGAGAGAGAGAGAGAGAGCGAGCAGAGGCTGTCTTCTGTCTGGTTTGCATGCATGTACACACACACACACACACACACACACACACACACACACACACACACACACACACGGAGCAATGGTGGTTATCATCCTGAGGAAAGGAGTATGGAAAGGTCACACAGTGATGAGCACACTGGGAAGCAGATGCCTGTAGGAGATGCCTGCAGGTGACCTAGCACAGGCTGTCCTCAAAAGATTCCTGTGGACTGAGATGGGATAAAAAGATTGATAAGAAATGGGAGGGTAGAGCAGTTTTGAATGAGGGCCATTGTCCATGAGGAAGATTGTAGTTGGTCTGGAGTGTGCTGAGAAGCAGAGCCAGGGAAAGAGGAGAGTACTAACTAATCAATAGGTAAGGACGAAATTTTGCCAGGACCTTCTGGGTCCCTGGAGGAAATGCTGTGCTTTCATCCAAATACAATTAGAAGTCACTGGAGGGTTTTTACGCAAGTGTGGTTAGCAGACTCAATGATGGTCTGGAGGGACAGGATAAGAGTACAGATAAGTACGACCTCTGCTCTGTGTCTTGAGGAGCTTATGTAAGACATCTAGTTAGCATGGCCACAAATAGAAAGGAGGAGACTGAGGCTCTACAAACTGATGAGACCCTTCCCAAAATCCTTAACAGTCTACAATCAAGGCTCTTGCCCAAACCCACCTTCCCCAATTCAATCTGCCTGTTTCAGCTGAGGCAGAAACAACAGATAAGGACCCAAAATAGAAGTGGCCATCTTCCCCTCCAACCATCAGAGCTGTGTGCTGGCCCAGACATGGGGCAGCACCTTTTTTTGTGTCTGAGAAATGAGACCCTATCTACCTGCTGGCCACCAACCTAAGTAGGAGTTAACTGGCACAAGTTTATTCACTTTTCAGGTGTGTCTCAGCTCCCAGAAAAAGGACGCATTATTCTTGCACTCCCATGACACCTCTTGACAGGGGATGTGGGAGTCTTTCTCAGACAGTTCACCTTTTATCTAAAGAAGGAGGTAGGTGGTGATGGCTCTGGAAACAGTTACGGGAATTCTCAGCATTGCCATTTTGGGTGAGGAAGAAACACCAATGTGTTGCATTCAGACAGTAGGGCAAGCAGGGTGTTTTGGTTTTAGTTTATTTTTTTTTTTTAAGTACTTTTAAAAGCTATGAAACTTGTCCAGTGGGACAGGGACTGAATGAAGAAGAAACATTGTCTTAAGCCAGAACCTCCCCTGCTGTCCATGCTCACCCTCTATTTTTTACTATTGCCTCCTCCTGCTTCCTTGACACTCAGCATGAGGCACAGCTACAGAAGCCTGGCAGCTGTGGGATACCAGAGCATAGGTGGTAGCAGCCGGTGACAATTGTCTCTGAAGTGCCATCTCTGCATTATCTGTGACATCTGCATCACTGAGGAGATGGCACAAGGCTGCTGCTTATGTTGCTTCCAGGTCACTTTGACAAATAAGTTTCTGCCTTCGGGACTGGCAGGGTATGTTGGTAATAATATCTGCTTGCTCGCCTGTAGGGCAGCCTCTCTCCTTACTCCTCCTAGCTACTTTGCATACTCACAGATCTAGATTGCAATTTAAATTTGTATATTTTATTCATAGGTGGAACATTTTTCCCCTACAACTTTGTACACTGCTAAACATTATTGGAATATTATTCAAAACATGTCCTTTCCATAAAATCTGTTTATGTGCCATCATTATCTGCAGCAGTAAGTACATTTTATATCATCAGAAATTTTATGATATATTTAAAAATGAATTTCTACTTAGCTGAAATGCATTAGGGATTATCCTAAGCGACCCTGCTGGAAAAAAAAAATGTAGTCATGTTTATTTGTAACTGCCAGAAAATGGCTTGCAAAATTGTTAGTGTCTTTTTATTATTCCATACCACTGGAGCACTTGCTTGTTAATTAGAGAAATTTCAACTGTCATAGTTGGCAATTATAGCTTCTGTATCATTGTCTGTTATGAATAGTCAATGAGAGCTGATTAATATGCATGAGCAGCAGTATATATAGCGTGTGCATTGGACCACAATCCAGCTGCCAGAGTCACTCGGAGGAGGGAGCAGGGTGTGTGCGTATGTATGTGTGTGTCTGCTTCTCTGTGTGTGCGCGCGTGCGTGCATGCTGCTAGGGAAGGGAAGAAAGCGTGGAGGAAGCAGAGAGTTGTTTTGCAGCCTCAGAGAGCCATGCCTGTGTGGGGCTTTGCAGCTGCCTGACTCACCTGAGGCTCTCAGAGAGCCCTTCAATGCCTGCATGCTGAGGGAGCGGCTTCCCAGGCGCTGGCGGTCCTGAAGGCTTTCTTTGACATTCCTCCAAACATGGGATGCAGCTTGTGCAGCGCGCAGAAGCAAGAGGAGCAGTACAAATTACTCTATGAAGTTTGCCAGGTAACGCATGGCAGGTTACTCTGCAATACTCCACCTGGCAGCATCCCTCCCAGGACAGGATCAGGAATTTCTGTGTGTGTTCTGTGTCCTGCCTAAGACAGCCTTATCCACTTCTCTGGAGCTGTTCTCTTAACTCCCTTAAGAAATGTGCTTCCTAGCAGCTTTCCGGTGCTTGGTTTTGTGAGTCTAAATAGCTGTTGATAGTCTTGCAGTGCGTTTGAAGCGTCGTGTCACAAAGCTCCATGACAACTAAGTGCTCTACAGAGCACCGACAGGAAGGGTCAAAGAGTGGTCACGCATCCTTTGAACAAGTTGGGGAAGATGGGGGCAATGATGGATGCTCTGCAGTTTCTGTGTGTTTACAAACAGTGTTAAGGTACTGCTTGCAGCAGAGCAAAGTCCTCTGTTGAGTCCTCCTTTCAGCAGCTTCTTGTAACGGGACATGTGGTTCACGTTTATGCCCCACACTTGCCCCGTCCATGTGTCTCTCTGTACAAACGTTAGCAACTTCTGAAGCAAGTGACTTGGTGTTACAGACTGTCACCCACAGCAGGTGACTTGTTGTGGCTTCTACATCAGAACATGAAATTTCAGTTGAGATGGAAGGGGATATTTTCAGTACAACCCAGCTAGCTTATCTTCATCTGTGTTAAGTGCTTTCCTTTTAAGTATTCAGCCCCGTCTTGAATGAGGTTTGACACGGTTCTTGGTAACCTAACTTGGCAGTTCAAAGATTTTCCTCCTTAATCATTCTGACTCCTTTAAAAAAAATAGTAATTTCAGTAAACAGAAAATCGCAGTTCTGTAATTTTTTAATCAGCATGGTAAAATAACATTACAGCAAGAAGAGTGGGTGTGTGTTTCTTGGTTTATAAAATAAATGGCAAATTAATAACATTTTTTTTAAGAGCCAGAATTGATTTTAAAGGGGATTTGTTAGTTGTGTGTCATTTTTGCATGAACCACCAGAGGGCGGGTGCTCCTAGCAAGACAGCTGAGTGTGCTGGCTGCCTGTGTGAACAAAACCTAATGATAGCATGATGACCCTGGGCCAATAAAAGGTGTGTCTGTCTGTCAGCTTCCTGAAGTGAGACATATAAAGTCAATGTAAACATTCTAGGGTCTGGAACTGTCCCACCTGCTAAAGAGGTTACTTAAGTCTTAGAAATAAACCTGGCTTCCAACTCCATGCTCAGGACTTATGGGACACACATCCTGTTCCCAGCAGTCTAGGGATGTGTGGGAGGTCTTGGGCAACAATGCTGTCATTGCTGATGATCTGGCTCCATCCCTCATATCATCATGTGGTATGACCTCACCCTCGGTTTGCCTGACGGTGTGGGGGCTCTCTTTAGAAGTGAGCTGAGAAGAGTGTGGGATACCATCAGCTAAGCAAGGGGCGCTGTTAGACTTGACAACTGCAAAAGGAGTAAGCAAAATAGTAGCTTGCAAAAAACTCCGTGCTTGGTTTGCTTTTTATGATCAGCACCAAAATTATCATTTAGCTTCCATTCAGGTGAGTTTCATATACATTTGTAATAGTGGCACCTTCCAAAATTCAACTCTATGATATCTATAGCAAATCTTATCATGCCAACTTATTGTTTCATTCAACTATATTATGTGTGCTCTTAAGCCCCAACTACAGCCTCAAAAGAAGGAATCTGGACTCAGTTTGGTTTTTACTGGGTGAATTTTTGTGGGGCTATTTCGGTCTGAAACATCATTCAGTGAGTTGCTGATAAATGACTTCCATCTGAAATACATGTTGTCAGCAGTTTAGGGAGCCATGCAGATTTATTTTTAGGGAGCCTAAACTACTTCTCAGACCAACTACCCTGTGTCGGCTAAGTAAAATCCCTCCTTCCTCCTATTCTATGGGAATCCTGAACCATCGAATAGAGGAATTCACAAAACACTTGCAGGAATTAATAATTGCATCCTCACCCTTATTATGCAAAACCTTATTAGAACAGTGAAATTAAGGTTTCCATAAATTACAGTTCCAGAAAGTCCAGTGTGTCTGGCTTCAATAAGCCTTCATAACAGCAGCACAAAGAGGATCAAATATTCTAGGGCTCTGGCTTGATCCTTTCCTCATCCAGAGATAATTCAAAGAGATGCTCTTCATTAGGGCCATTGGCAGGCTGCCTACAATTTCTTTGGGGGGCTGCTGTGAGCTTAATGGTGTAGAACAATGGCTTTGCCTCTAGTTGCACACATACCTTGTTGTACCTTTAATCACATTATAAAAACAACAACTCACCAACTTGCCTGCTTGTTAAAGGGTAACACAAAGAATCCAGACATGTCAGTAGTTGGCACAGTATATTTGAGGATATGCTGAGATCTTGGGGAACACTTGAATACTTCTAAGGAGACAAGGCAAGCCTCCTCCTGCCCTGGGGCTTGTCAAATAGGTTGAGTGTGGCAGTTCCTTGGGCTTTTATCACTGCAATATTCTAGAAGGGACTTCAGCATAGAATCTGTGTCTTCTGGAAATGTGACATTTAAGTTAGCAGCTGAAAACATTAGCCTATCTGATAACTTTGACCCCTAAGTGAAGTGAAAGAAAAAGAACAGAAAAGGAAGATATTTGAAGGCAGTCAGGGATACAATCTTCTCAGGGAAACTGGATAACACAGAGAGTCTTATATTCAGCCTATTGGTCCTGAGGCTGGAGGTGGAAGCCAGATGAGGATGAGTGCTAAGTTATGGATGGGAAGAAAGGAAATTAGGCACGGCAAGGTCTATGACTGTTAGCTGGACACCTGTGATTCCAGGGCAGGGTAGGCACCAGCTGTGCTAGCAGAAGTAGTATGGCAGTCTGGGTATTTATTTTGAAGGGCTTCTCTTGGAGATTTGGGGAAGGAATACAACAGCTCAGAGGCAGTGTTTCTCCTCAAGGCCCTTGGGAATTTTGTGCAGTGGTAGCAGTCTTTGATATTTGGATGAGACAAGGAATTAATTCTGATAGGGAATTTTGATTCCAACTAGATTGTAACTACCCCACTTCACTAATATCTGCATGCATGCCAGTTTTTAAAATGACAAGGAAAACACATTTGCAAGCATCTCCATTACCTAGAGCATGCATAGCAGGTATTGGTAATATGCTAAATGCCAATCATCTGTTTTCCCATCATATCCACACAGCAGCTAAAAGAGAGGTGATATTATTATCCCCAATCAAAGATGAAGCAATTGACATGAAAATGAATTATAAGTGGGGTTGGGTGCCACATCCACACCACAATTTCCAGGTCTGAGAACTTTCTTTGTACAAATCATTTTGAGCAATATTATAGAGAGACTCAACTGGGATGAAGTATTCCCGCCTGGGCTAAAGAGTCTGGTTAGTACGGTTTCTGCTGGGCAAGCAGGAGGATATGAGTTCCATCCCCCACACAGGCAGGGCTGTGCTTGCTCGTAATCTCAGAGCTGAGAATTGCAGAGACAGGAAGAGCCCACAAGCCCAGATTCCAGTGATAAATACTGGCTCAGAAAACAAAGTTGATGGCTCCGAAGAAATGATGCTACAGGTTGACTTCTGATCTACATATACACAGGGACACACATTCACACAGACACTCATGCACATACAAAGGAGAGGGAGAAGGAGAGAGTTGAGATTGCTTTTGCCTTTGTGTGGCTGAAGAGGTGGTATTATCAAACAGATCCCCTTGCAGCTTGCCATTTCATGGAAAGACACTCTGTGAAGCCATGAGGAAGCTGTAAAGTAGACAAAGAGAAATAATCTCAAAAGTAGCAGGAAGTCCCCCCCCCAACTTTCCAGAAATTTCCCAGAATGAATGATCCCGAAGTTACAGTTGTGCCTTCTGCTGTAGAGTTGCTAGGTTTTAAAAATCATATGCTTTGCCCAGAACACAACAGCCATCCTTGTTTGTGACCCTTTCCCTACCAACCCATTACCTAGTAGGCTAGGAGAGCCCAGATTTCTCTGGTAAATACAAATTAGAATCAGCAAGTTTATGAGGCAGGCTGGAAACTTGACTGCACACAATCCTGTTTTCATATTTAATTAGCTGCGTGCAATACTCAATTAGATGAGTTTACTGCTGTAGAGCCACTGTGAGTCTGCTGTGAATCAGCCGGGCCGTGGGATGATTAAGTATGGACAGAGTCAGTGGCAGTTAATTGGATGAACATAAACTTGACCTCCACACAGCAGTGCTGAACCAGGCCAATATCTCCTGCAAATGAGTGTGTTTGCTTAAGCAGCCTGTCAATGCTAAAAAGCACTGTTTTTGATGCTGTTTTCCCTTCTGAATTCATTTTGGGTGAAACAGGTTTGAAAACAGAAAGCTTACCCAGGCTTAGCAGCAGGCCTGTCACTCTAGCCACTGGGGAAGACAGAGGTAAGAGGATGACGCGTTTGGGACTACTTGGGCTACAGCTTGAGTTCAAGTCTAGCCTGCATAACTTAGTGAGACCCCTTTTGGAAAAGCAAAGGGTTTTTTTTTTTTTTTTTTTAATTAGCTTATCCTTCTACCTAAGTAAATTGAGACCCCTGTAAGCATGGAACTGTTTATGGCCACAAGAGTCACTATGTTATTTTCTCATTGGTAAACATGAGTCATAAATTGCTTTAATGTTAAGAAATGAAAACAGAAGGGACTGTGGTCGAACTAGGACCTGCATCCCTGCATGGAGCCTTCCCACCATGCTCTACCCACTGCCGTATCCCTATATATAGCCTTCCTACCATGCCTTGCCTATTACTCTATCTCCACATGAAACCTTTGCCCCATGCCCTGCCCACTGCTGAATCCCCCCCCCCCAATATGTCCTGTCTATTACTATATCTCTGTATAGCGGGTTTCTACTCTGTAGTGTTAGTGTATCCCTACTCTGAGAATTCCCACCATGCCATACAATACCGCTATGACCCTATAAAACACACCACTGTGCTTCCAAGCCCGTTGGTGTCCTGATATTGAACATTCCTACAACATTGATGTATTCTCACAGAGTGTGCCCGCTGTGGCCTGCCCACTGCCATCTCCCCCATTTCTCACTGCTTCATTCCTATGTTATCATATTAATGCTGCTTTTCCCATTACACTGGGAATTCAGGAAGTCTCGTTAT